AATGGAAGCAATCAGCAGGTGATGCCTCTGAGTTTAGCACAAGACCTCCCTCCAAAGCACAGGGCTGAAGGAACAATAGTGGCACCACTTTGCTCTACACCAACAAGCACAGACAAATCAAGTCAGCACTTGCAAAGGTGTCAACCAAGAGAACCAAGAAACCTACCACCTGAACATCTCCATTTAAAATACCATGTTCAGTCAAACTTTTGAATCATTCCTTGTCCTTGAGGTCAAGGAAGAGCTTTAAGGCAGAGAAGAAAACAGCAACGGTGATTTCATAAACATTGTGTTACTCCAAATGCCTTTGGTAAGGCTCAAGATGTCCAAATCAACTTAGACTCAAAAAGAGCGGTCTGCTATCTGAAAACTATAATAAACAAGATTTTATTTCCTTTCTGGTGAACAATACAAGCTACCGAGAATTGCGCCACTGACTCTGTAAACTGCTGATTTTGTTTTGAACTTGCTAGTTTCAGGACAGACCAGCATTTGTGCTTCCTCCTATTGGGAAACGCTTGTCTGAAGGGCTTGTCTTCATGCTCACTTTGAAAAAAGGCTGCCAGATAACAGAAACACTCTGAACCATTATTCTATATTGAAAGTCAGCATTATGCACCATTTTAACATACTCCTTGAAGAGTCCTTTCATGATAAAACAAGCAGAAACTTTTCTGAGGTCTCAGATATAACAGACATGGATTTAGGGCACAATCGCTACTTCCATAGCGCTAGCTGTGAAGTCCTGATGAAGACTATAAAGGTTTAGATATTACACAGGCTTTCTGCCTGCAAAGCTCTTAATGAAGTTCAAGAGACATCCACACATGAAGAGTCTGGGCAATCCAGACGCAACTGTGCACTGGATGAAGAAACAGCCTCACAGCACAGAGACAGCAGAAGACCCACACAGATTTAAGCATTCTATAGATTCACGCTACCTTTCCGTAAGGAAGTGCATTTTAACAGATTTGTCAATTGAGATGACACTACTTAAAACCAAAGGACTGACGCTCAGCTCAACTTGTACTCTTGCCACTGGCATAACCCACTCTATCTTGTGCTTGTTTTGAGGCGTCTGGCTCAAAAACAAAACACTGAGGAGAACTGAGGGCAAAGGAGATGGGAACTGCCAAGTTCACACAATGCTGGCTCACGGCTGAAGGGAAGGTGCAGAACTTTTACACTGTAGCTAGAGAAAGCCATCATGAGAACCAGACTGCAGATTTAATGTCAAGCTGAACCACACAAAAAACCACAGGGATTTGCTCCCAAATTACTTACTGGTGACCTACAAAAAAATAAACCACAAAACCAAAACAGGGGCACGGGTGTGGGTGGAATTTCTGCTTTATGTTCAAAGAGTGTCTCTTGCACACACAGGTATTTGCAGAACAAGAGGATGTTTTTCTCTTCCCCCACTCCCTTAATTTTCACGTTTATGTCAAGAATATAAAGATTTCCTTCCTGGTAGTTCCTGGTGAACTCTGCAAGTTCAGAGAGTTGGCAGAAGACCTTTCTCAGCCTTCATCTGTAGGACACACCAAGTCCTGAACAAAGGCTGGTTTTCCCTTAACTGTCTCAAAGGAAAATAAAGATCAAGAGTTTCAAACAGTGATTAAACTCATCTTTTAAGTGCTCTGGCTGTAGAACACCATGTTGTTACAATCCTCCCTGATCCTCCCTCCTCCAAACAGAGAGGATCCTACAGCAAAAGGAAGAGATGAAATCTGGTATTTAACATGAGGGGGATGGCAAGCTCTATTTCTGAAAGTTCATCTCTCATTCTTTACCCCTAAGCAACTGGTTGGTTTCTATTACAGACTTTTACCAAATCCAGTCTGCTTCCAATGTAGCTGAATTGGAAAAGAAACCACTAATCAAACAAAAGAATCCCACCCTTTTGCCTGATGACAATACAGCATTTAATAAACCAAAAATAAAAGGTATTCCAGAGGACAGATGTTGGAACACGCCTCCACAAATATTATTACAGCCTTAGGAGACAACTGAGACCTGCACAGGGTATTTCGTCAATTAACATTAGACTTTCAATGTTTCATAATTAGGCCAAAAACACAAAGGTTTGAGAACCTGAGGGAAAGGAATAACAGAAAAAAAGGGTCATCAATGAATAAAAAGAAGCTCAGGATTGCAACAATCTGGAACATTGATCTAATTTGCCATTTAGAAACACAGGTGTTTAGGCCAACTTCACATTGCTTATCACTGACAGGTCACAAAGCACTAACACTTGCCCATGGCGCAGAGCCAGCTCACCTCTCAACACTAAGTGCCAGTTCCAAAAACAGTAGAGACCTTTCCCTCTAAATATTAAATCAATGCATCAGTAATAGTAAGGAAAAAAACACACACGTCACAAGAGCACAGTGGCACTTCTGAGAACACCACATCCAAATACAAGCAGCCATCAAGGACGAGCACAGTCCCACAAGACAGTAACAGATCCCTTGAAAAGAGACTTGCATCAGGAAAAAAAACGGGTTTGTTGGAGGGTGTCGTGTCTTCAGTATGTGTAGAAGGCATTCTTATTTTCAACTCCTGTCTACCTCAGATAAAAGCAGTTTCCCAGTGATCTTTTTTGCTTGAGAGAAATAAAGAACAAGCTTTGACAACGAGCCAGAGAACCAGACTGGAAGCTCTCCCAAACTAGCAGGCTCAGTGTTCTTGAAAAAAAGCCTTTCCTCCAGCTGTCTCAGATGTAAGCCATCTCGCTCAGACAGTTAACAACAAAAAGAGACACCTCAGGTTTAAAGAGGTTGACTAAATATTACTTCCCTAGAGACCATTGTTTACTGTCCTCATTTTTCTGCCATGTGATCATCTCATTCAATTCTCTCACTGCCCAGTCTCTTCCCGAAAGCATTTGGCAGTTGTGACCTGAGCTTTGGATGGAAAAACACAGCAAACCTTTACACATTGTGGAGCAAGAAAACACAAGCCCTGTGTCTTTTTTTGGGTGAGTTGTTTTTTGTTTTTTTGCTTTGGGTTTTTTTTGTCTGTGCGCAGGTCACCTTCAACCAAAAGCAGTGCTTTAGCAACAGAGACCCACATACAGCTTTGTGATCTGAAGTCAAGTCGTAAAAGCAGACAAGTGTCTATTAGTGGGGAGGAGCTCGAAGAGAAAGTGAAGAATACCCCATGGCATCAAAATGAGCAGGACAACCATGCAACACTTCATGCAGGTCACCAGTGAACATGGATGAGAACCAGATAACACTTTGAGAACATAGACCAGGTAGGGTGGTACGACTGTGGACACACCTCAGTTACACAGAGAGACTGCTTACCCTCAGTTTTAGTGGTAGTACCATCTTTAGGCAAATTAAAAAAAATAAGGAAAGGATTAATAGGAAAAATTAGTAACAAACAGAAGTGGGCACTATGTATTAGCTACAGAAATGCACAAAAAAATTTAACACAATTAAAGAAATGGAAAAAGTTTGACTGAGCAGTAAATCAAAGCTTGATGTATCCAAAGAGGACGCTTGCAGGTTTTCCCTCCTGCAACAGCCAACCTTTGGCAAGGTCCATTTTCTTTGTTTGCCTCACCATTTCTCTCATAGCAACACACAGGTGACAGATGTCCCTACCAGCTCAAAAGGAAACACGCTCCTTCAGGAGCAGCCGTGTTTGCATCACTTAGCGTGCATTTGCTGCTTTTCTCCTACAGTTTGATTCAAGAGCGAGACTAATACTGCATTCAGCCGCCCGGCTTCAAGGACAGGACCAACTTTAGTAGACAGTTCAATCCTCCTTCCGTTCTTCCTCATGACATAGGATTGTCCGTAAGCCGTTTTGCCACTGAAGCCAGTGTGCAGCGCGACAAAAATGGTTGCATCTGGAAGCTCAAAAGCAGTCTGTGATCAACTTCGTATTCTGTGTTCAGGTTTCACTGCAATCTAAATCTTGAACCAAGTATGAACAATTTAAATCAGAATAAGAATTCTACTTCTGAACCAAATACAACCAATACACTTAAACCAAGGTAAAATATTTTAGATATGAAAGAAACCTATCTACAAAAAGGAATCTATAGAAACCACCCCTATATAATTCACCAAGCATACTGTATCAGACTAAAGACCAAATGCCCCACACTAAGGAGAAGCAACTTTTTAACTGACTCAGTGAAGACAATCTACACAGCTTAAATCAAGATGATGGATTTTGGATCTTTCACTCTCTTGTAAAGGTGAACCGATGAAAAGTCTGGAATTAGATTAGCATGAAACCAGCAGAATAAGAAACTAGTTCTGATGATCAGTTCTGCTCATGACTGAATTGAAGCTCTGCAAATACAGTGTCAACCACTGCCTTGCATGTCCTGCTCCATGCCTCCTTCAGTGCCATCTCCAGGAGAAAAAGATCAAATGCAAACTTTGTTGTAAGAAACCCTGGGACACCTGAAAGTGATATATGATGCCCTGAGAGAGTAATGTGACATGTGGCTATAATCCAGAGTCAGCATGAGGAACAGATTCTTATACCCTGTGTGGTGAAACAGGAAGGCCGACTTCTCCTCTTTGCTTCTACATCTTTCTCTCTTGTAAAATAAAGTGACCAAACACAACTAAGATGTACTATTCAAAGCATAAAACAATTAATGGAAAACCAGTTTCAGGAAACGAAGGAAGGAAGAGAATGAAAAAAGACGGGAGAACATGTCAAAAGGAATTGAGCAGCAATTATTTTCCTCAACAACGTCCCGGAGTCGGAATAAGATTTGCTTTTCCCCAGAAAGAAGAGCGAGACGCAGACTCTTACACAATACAAAACCTAAGAAGTTGCTTCAAGTCAGTTCTGTTGCAAATTTTTTCCTTAATCCCAAAGGGCAAGAGATCACACACTGATCCTGGAGAGCTGGTAACTATCTCAGAGATACGTTCTTCATATGTTCAACATTCAAATAAAACTACGAGGTAATTTCTGCTAGCAAAGAAAGCTAACTGCAAGAGTAGAAGCACATGTAGAATTACCTAGTGATGCGTATGAGCCTGGGGGCAAGGCTGCAGCAGAACTGAAGGGGGTAGATGCTCCAGAAGACGTCACTTTTGACTTGGCACTAGCTGCTGCATTCACATCGACGTCACTGCGGGATCGCTGCAGAGATCCTGGTGTTGACACAGATTTTGTACTTACTGTAGATGCTGCAGATGGGAGTGGGAGATCCAGAATAAAGAAGATTAATTTTTTGAGCTGTGTGCTTCAAAGAGCCTGACAAGCAGTTTAATGTACTATTTTTAACACTCCCTGCTGGCACTGAAATACTTCAACTAAGAATGCTTTATCAGAGCAATGTGGGCTTCCCCAACTGCCTGCAAAGATATCTCAATGCTGACCTGATGCTACCTCTAAGAACTTTATCAGACACTAACCTAAATTCTGAGATCAAAAAGGCTGCCAGTCCAGTAGTAAAGAAATTTCTAACAGAACCTAGATGGGAAAGTTCAACCACAGTACTCATTACCATCATGCAAGTTGCTGGCCAAAACAGACCTGCAGGTTCTTCGGTCCAGGTTCTGCTAACTTCCTTCCCAAAATCTCATCATCTTGAGGACTGCTGTTCCCATCACTTGTTGATGCCTGCCCTCTTAAGCATGAAGCTTGTCTATTCAGCTGCAAGCAAACGTGCATTTGTGTGCACAATCGAGTAGGTTCCACAACAGTATCTCCTTGAACCAAAGGTCTCAGTAGGGTGTAGTGTACACACAAACCAGCCAGAACCCGATCTTGGCCAAGCGTAGAAGGAAGCTTATCTTCTACCACAAAAGTTTTGTCTGTTATATTCTGTATTAAAGTTTATTATTTAGATTATTGTATGCATTTACTTAGGACAGGAAAGCTGCACTTAAATATTCCATCTAACAGTTAAAACAGATCAGCAGTGAGATGGAATTTAACACTGTAGGACTTGCGTGCAGACGATGTCTCCAGTAAGTGCTGAAACCACAGAAAATATATGACAAAATTGTAAAGCTGAATGCACCATTAGACTATGAAGCTGCACGTCTTAGCATCAGCAGTAGTTTATTGCAGCCATTGCACAGCTAAACACACCTTAGCTACAATTTTCAAGGCTTTTCAGCCTTCCCTTCAGGTGCAAGCAATAACAGATTTACTAACTTTTGAAAGCAGCATTATATCTGCAGCTGATGCACAAAATGTGGTGAACAATCCAAAACTAATGAAAAATTTTACATAGTAAGTTGCCATTTTAAGGAGCAGTAAACAGTGATCACCGTTGTTCTTTGCATATTATAGTGTCCGAAAGTCTAATTCATCACACTTCCCCAGCAACACCTGAGCATATTTTTCAGCTCCTGTCCTCACCTCTAGATGTAGTACTTCCAGTAGGACTTCTTTTGGCAGACAGTGGACGGCTAGAAGTTAATATAAATATTTCTTAGAACAAAACTGGTATTTCATAGTCATCAGCAACAGTGCTACTCTGTTCTCCCAGTACACATTTGAGTTAAAAGGAAGTTATTTATAAATGGGCATAGACTAACAAAGATTATTGTTTAAGAATAAATACAGCACTACCATGAAATTCTTTGCAGAAGCACTAAAAAAAAATTAGTATGCATACCATTTGAGCAAGCAGAGATTTTTAAGAACACTTTTTGTAGTTATACCAACAAATTATGAATATTTTTCATATAGGTCTAACACTTAATTTGCAGACATTTGGAGCCCATGTTGACTGTAGCTCTAAGAGAAGCCAAAATACATACATTCAACAGAAGAGGTACATATCGATTTAGCAGTTACAACTAAAGTTTAGTTTAGTCATTATTATACGGAATGAGGCAGACTTACACCTCTAGAATTAATGCTAAAAACAGAATTTCAAACCAAGCATTGTTTTAAGCACATCTGGAATGAATGACTAACAGTATCTGCGGAGCACAACTAGTTCCTAGAAAATAATTTATGGAGTCAAGATAATGGTGTTTTTTTTTCAAGTTAGTAATGGGTTTTGCTGGCTTTTTATTTTAATATAATGTTAGCTAAAAAAAAAAGAAATTTTGGAGTAACCAAGTGTTGAGGCCAAATGATGACCAGATGAGAAAAGGCAACTTGATGGCTCTCTCCAATTCAATGGAGCTATCTGCAGTAGTTCAAATTGAGAGGTAGTGACACTGAAGGACTTACTTGAGACTCTCCTGGGAGCTGGAGGAGGAGCGATCCGACTGCGGCAAGGACACAATGCTATCAGAGTTCTTCAAATGCGACTGCAGGGCCTTCTGGTAGGAAGACTCCAAGGTGTGGTACAAATGTTCTGCCTCTCTGCTGAAGTGACTGTGGAAACCCCAGTAACACCTGGAAGCAAGGCACAAGACTGTGAGCATTTCCTCGTCGTGTTTTAGGGGGCAGTGGAGCACAGGTACAGTCAGAGCCCTTTTCACTGCTGGCATTAGTGGGCTCCTTAGCCCAGTCATTTCAACCATCTACTGCCCCTATGACACGCTTAAGGCATATCCCTTTCTTCAACCTATTGTATTGCTCAGACAGCTGCACAGAAGACAAAACAAATGAAAATGAGAGGAACACACCATTTAGTGTGTTGTAAAAACACAAGTAGCCAACGCAGCTTTATTACAGAAGAAACCCTCATCTCTCCGGCTGTCTGCCGTATGCAGGAGATGGTAGACCCACTAGACTGATACTAGTCTGGGACTGGGTGCTCAATAGCTACTTCAAAAAATGCCAAAAGCAGAACACACATGCATGAGCCTGACTCAGGAAAGCACCAGCTGGTGGTGTTTTCTTAAGTTTAACAAAAGAGCTCTCCTACAACACTACAGAGACAAATCTTCTGTACTGAGTCGAGGCTGTTGACTGCCTTTTTGGGAAGAAATAACAAGGAAAAGTAAAGAGAAGCTCCTACAGACTTCCAATCAGTGCCATGCTGAAAATAAGAGACCATTTTAGGATGAGGGAAGAATTACTCTTTGGTCCAAATCTCCTGGCTGATGGCTAAACACCATTCATTCTGGTCACAAAGGAGATGAAGGCTCTCAGCACTTTTCAGGGGGCAACTAATGTGCAGTTTAAGAGCAAGATTGTTAGCTCAAATCAATCAAGAATCATTTGTGTGACAGCCAATCCCCAGAGAAGTCACATGCATTCTTACTTCACTAAAAGGAAACAAGTTTGTCTTACAATCAGCCACATTGTTAATTAAGAAACATGGGAAGAGAGAATTAAGCACACTCTCTGAAGTCTGCCATTCTCCTCACTGTCTATTCAGCTTAACTAGTCACCTGCCGTGAAGTTTCAGTGCCCACTGCATCCTTCAGTGATGGACATGTTCCCTTTCACAAGGATTTAAACAGTCCTACTGTGAAACATCTCTGCTTATAACAGCATTTATATTAATAAAATTCATTGTTTTCATGTTTTACAGCATCCTCTTTCTGGAGAAAAATGTTCCTGTAGTGTTCTGTTCGGAGGACCATGATCCTAGTATATCAGCATTCTACCAGAAGTACAAACACATTAACAGAAGTGCAAGAGATCTTCAACAGAAGAAAATGAATTGCAAATATTAAAGTTTCCTATAGATACACACAAAGACATCATTTCAGTGTCAAAGTATTTCCTTAATTTAGGATACTATTTAGGAGCGTACTAGCACAAGGACTTTTGTTTCAAGAGTAGCAAATAACCCAGTCTTGCATAAATACCAAAAAGAAATGACAAAAAATATATTACAAATAACAGTAGTTTTGTACTGCACAGAAGAAATATCAGTTAACTGCAAGCAACTCAAACATCAAGAAGAAAGCAGAGGTTACTAGTTCAAGATTCTGGAGTCGAGGACAACTCAGGTAAGCATTTTACCTGCTCAGACCAATAAAAAGACAACAAAATATTAGAAGAACAAAGTGAAGCACGCACCATTAGAACATGCAATGTATTTAAAACCAAGGGAAAGTTGGCATCAACTGCCAGGAGAACATAACTTGTCTGGACTTCAGCCTCCAACATGCAACACCACTGACTCACAACACAACAGGGGCAAAGAAGGGGAAGAAGAAGAGACATCACCAGCAGCTTCCACTTACTTTCTTGCCTCTATCCTGGCTTCAGAGTCTGCATCATGAATTCCCTTCTTTATTGTTTCAGCTAACACTGATATGTGTCTGTAATAAGAAAAACATTACCCTGCAGTCCAGAGAGACGAGCCACACTTGTAAACAAATAACTGATTTGATTTTGTCCTGGTTTCCAAGAACAAAGAGTTCATCACACCCTCCCATTTCCAGGTAAGATCCTTTGGATCCTTTATTTATTTACTCTTACAAGTCAGTTCTACTTTGCTCACATTGCTGACTAGGAGAAGGCAAGCAGCATTCTTCATAGGTCAGTCTAGTTAGCTACTGAAGCTGCCGGGATGCAAAAACACACTCTTAACCTTTAAATAGCCTTGCACGATCTAGGGCTAAGGAAATTGTGCCCCAGTCTCTTCCCTGTTCATTAGTTTAAAGTACTGTAGAAGCCTCAGAAGCTCCTGATAGACATGTAGTAGCCTTCACTTCATCTCACTTTAGGGTGCAATAGGGAAAAAAAGGCTATTGGGTTCAGGGATTCACCCAGCCGGGTCTTCCAGGGCTGGCATCAGAGACAGACTCACCAAATGCTGACTGCCAGAACTACAGGAATGAATGGTGTGTGCGTACTTACGTACATGGCGTTTTTGTGGCAAAAAAATCTGTGTTAGAGCTGCCTGACATAATCTCACCTCCTAGATTACCCTCTCTCCAGAAATTAACCCCCCAGACCTAAGTAGGAGAGATTTAACCCACTTATTTTCAGAGCTTACCTTTCTAGGGAGTGTGTTTGCCATTCCTGCAACAGCAAGTCTAAAAATTCAAAACAGCGCCTGAGAGAAGAAAGATAAGAAATGCTGAGTTCTTTAAGTTAATGGAAACATACTGACTTTGCCATACCTGTCTCTGAACAGCAGCCATCTCATGTTCTGAAGCTTTTTGGGACATTAGAATTCAGTAATGGTCCAGATGAAAATATCAACATCTCAACAAAAGCCATTAGTAAACAGTCTGAAGTAGTAACTGGAGGCAGCTCGCTACAGAGAAGCCTGAAAAGAGGCCTGACATAAAACGATCCAGAAAGCCTCCTTTTTCATTAAACAGGATACAAATCCAGAAGATCCATGCTAACGCTAACTTTGTGCCTGTTAGTTCAAGCCGCACATGGAAACTTCACATTCAGCTTCATGCAGAGACAGACCTTTTCAACTTTAATCTCCCTTCCTCATTTCAAGAAAATAAGGCAGAAGTGTGCCGTTATTTGCTCAAGGTTTATCAGCAAATTCAGCAACCACAAAGCTCTTTTTATCTAACTAGAACTAGCTAATCTACATGGACCAGGCAAGAGTCTCCCAGCAAGGCAGTGGACTGAAGCACACTTGGATTTTAAGTGCAGAGAGGACCACCAGCACATCCAGTCCTACTTCCAGATGACACTACCACAGAACGCTACTTCTGCTCGCTAGGCTCAGAGAAAATGTGTCACTATAACAGTCAGCAATGGGAACAGGAACATATCTGTCAAGAAATCAATATACAATGACATTATTATAACGATATGTAATATGTAAGCACAAAGATGAGCTTAAAAAAAACCTTTCTCTTTGCAGAAAAGTGCTTTTTCTTCTCTGCAGTGCTGTGACTTACACAAGATAGCTGACTGGGAATTTGTCCCCCCCTCATGGGGGAGAACGAGATGCATTCTTTACTAAGTGTGCATACCAACCCTTTTCATGAATAAAAACAAATACGTGAATGTTATCAGAAAGAACATGGGAATCTATTTACTAGTAAAAAAAAAAAGATAACAAATTCAAACTAATACTCACCTTCTAACTGCAACAGACTTGGAGGTACAATTACTAGTTATGATGGGTATTAATCGAGGGATGTGTGTATGCTAGAAAAAAAAAAAACAAACAAAAAACAGTAAGAAATCTTTACACCACAGTTCCATGGAATGAGAAGCCATCTCCTTCAGCCACCTGAGCCCAGTACGCAGATATTTATTTTTGTTTAATTCTTAAAAATAGAACTGCTAAGTACAGGAACACCAACAGATACGGGCATATATTTTTATTATTAAAAATATTTTATATTTATCTGTTAAAATATCTTTAACAGATACTTTATTTTCTTCTATAATGACAGGCTCCAGTGAGTCAAAGAGTTGAAGTCACTGCAAGACGATCTAAACTGTCAGTGGTGACAACTTGAGAGATATCGAGCTACCTACAGCTTCCCCAATGAATCACTACGCAGAAGTCACCTAATGGTCTTAGCAAACGTGTGCTATCTGTGAGGAGTTTTAGAGCATAATTACAAGCACAAGTCTGTCCTGCAAGGCAGGTTTAAAACCCATTCAAAGAAAAACATTTGCTCAGCTCTCAGAGGAACGGAAATATCTTACTCCGCAAAGAAACATTCTTCTTACTAGTTTGGCAGGGCTTACCTATCATCATCTACACAAGGCTACATGACATCTGAGACAGCCAAGCCCAGCAGGACCAGAAAAGTAGATTAGGCAATTAATCTAATTTTCATTGCAGCCACATTCAGATCTTCTCAGAAACACCACAGTATTTGGAAACGATAACATTGTTCTCTTTCGATGTATACTTACTCGAATGATTAATCTAACTGCTACAACACCAGAAGTGGCCATGACTTTGGCACTATTCGGAATTAGATTAAAAATTGTTGGCATGATGGCTTCTGCCCCATGGTCAAACTTGTTTCCCAGAACTGATGACAAATGTCTGAAAAACAGAATGAAGTCATGCTGGTAAGTGTGCTGAGGGTTAAGCGAGTCAGACTTCTACAGAACATCTGATGTAAGCACATCTGACATGCCAATCTTTACAACTGTCACCTCCTCTCCAACTGAAAAGGACAGAGAACACCAGGTTCAAAAAGTAGTTCCTCCACTTTCATTTCAAACTTGTGTTCTGTATTCATCTGAACTCTGAGAAACGGTAACTTCAGCATAAAATAAAGTAACTAGCACAGCTAAAATTTATTGTCAAACAAATGGGATCATGCTGAAAGAATGTATTTTTCTGAACCTGTTAGTTTATATTAGTTTCTCCAAAACTGCATATTTTGCCTTAATATGCACAAATTTCAAAAAAGCTGTCAGAAACACTGCAGTGCCTTTTTTCTTGAAGCATTTCACAAAGGATAAACCTTCAAAACTAAAAACTAGCTCAGTCCAAACCAAAACAAACACACATGCATTTTCAGCTTTATTGTTCAATCCTTCCCTACTCGGTGCATGGACTCATGGCTCGCTCATTCATTCAGCGCATCCCAAATCAGCATCGTTTAAAGCTCAGGAACACAGTCTGGCAGAACTACAATTAGCAGCCCACATGGACATGCTTTGAAACCATTGTACCAAAATCATGTTCTACCTATACCTATCAAGCACTAGCAGCACGAGTTACACCCCAAATGTGTTTTAAACAGTGTCTGTTCCTTTTTGCTACACCACATTTCAAGTGCATTTAGAAAGTAGACTTACCCCAACGTGATACAAGCCTCTCGTACTACTTGAGACCGCAGGTCTTTAGCAGATAATTTAAACGCTCCATCCAAAAGTCTTAAGTGTTGGAAGAAGTTATCATATTCTGCAGCTCCAGCCAAAAGTAAGGAGCGGATCTTTTTCAACTGTTAGCACCACAAAATAAAACAGTGAGTGTTACTGAGCAATAAATACCAGGACAGTTATGTTCAGGGCTGATACTTGGTTTCCAGGGTCCTTGCACAATTGTTCCTCAACGAGTGTTGAGGAACACTGTTCTTGAAGTCCAAGCACTTTTATTATTTCAGATCTCATATTCAACTCATAGGTTAACATACTAAGTACAATAATATAAACATGCTAGCTAACTGTTACAGAAATGAAGAAGTGTTACATACAGCTACTCATAATAACCCAAACATTACTTTTTAAACCAAAAGATATCTTAAAGATTCTGCTCTATTTCCCTTAGAAACCAACTATTTACAACAGCTTCTAAAGCTTAGGTCCTCTCACAGCTGACTACTGTATTAAAAAGATGACTAGACTTAAAGGACATGGCTTACACTCAGATCAGAGCAATACTGACTTTTATCTAGAATATATCCACTGACTTCATTCAAATAATTATCTAGTTCTACCAGAAGTCAAACCCTGATTCCACCAAAATGCAGATTTTCTATTAACATTACCATTTCATCCCACAGACATTCTTTTGGACACCTTCACAGGCCCTCATCTATACTGATGCCTCTGTACAGTGCCTTGACTTAAGCTCACTGCTACTCAGTAAAGGAAACAAAAAACCCCCACACCCCAAAGTAAACTGAATGAGCACGGTTTGCCACTTAGATCTGTAATATAGGATTTGACAGACACAAAGTTGCCACACCAGTGATGAAAGCCTACAGGATAAACAAGATCATGCATCTATTTATATCATGAAAACACAGCTTACCTCAGTAAACAAAACTCAGTCTTGGCATGCGTATAACATCTGATTTTCCAGTCATATTTATTTATTTAAAACCTAAGTCTGAAAATTCTTTCTGAATTATTTCCCTATGCAAAAGCATAAATAAGTTCTCTATAAGCAAACTGACTTTCTGCCTCATCAGGAAGTTTTCAGATATTCTGAATACCACATTTCTATTTCAGCACCTGCTAGCAAATTTCTAGCTTTACACCTGGATTTGCTGCATGACTTCCAGTTCAACTTGATGCTGTCTCAACTGACTCTTGTATATGAAATAGCATTTTACTTCACAGGTGTGGTTTAAATTCAGCCTTATATGGAAACATTTCCCCCAGCTGGGGGAACATAACAGACACTCACCACTTAAACTACATTCTAGCCTTACTCCGAGGTTCTCCCAGTACCCTCATCATGAGCTTAAGCTCAGTGCAGAATTATATTAATAGAGTTCATATCCAAGTTCACTACTTACCGCAGAAACTCTCTGCTCCCAGTCATGCTTATCATCTGATAGTATCTCTCTTATTTTGTTTATGGATTCCTCAAGATCCCTGCTGGAATAAATCTGCAAATTTAAATACAGAGTAGCATCATAATGCAAGATTTACTCCAGAAAATCAGATCACTTCCCAACTACTTTTTTATGTCCTTTGCTCCTCAATGCTCAAATATCTTGTGCTAGCCTTGGACACAGCTGGCTTTGCATAATGCAAAGAATTTACACCCATTTCCTGCCATCAAAAATTACTAAATGATCACAATATGATTAAAGGAACCTCTTATCATTTTAGTATGTTTTCACATC